CCCTGGCATTCCTTTATTATTCATCCCGAAGAGTGTTAGCCTCTTCCAGGCATTCAGTTAGGAAAACGGAGCGTGATAGAGAACGGCGCGGTGACAGCGGCAGACTGAGAAAACGGTGCCGGAAGTTTGGCTGCTTGGCAAAGCCAATAATAAGACGAGATTTAGCTAACAGTGCAATACAGAAACAAAATATACTTGACGAATTCACATTCCAATAAGTTTATTCAAGAGCCATAATGGGACAGAGAGCGAATCTGAGGGCTTGGCCGGGATATGTGAATTTCACAAAAGTTATTTTTAGAGTTACAATTAAACGGAGGTCTAATTCCTGGGACGTCCGCACATCTTAATTGAAGCGCGCCAGCCCTTCTATTTGTAATATGCATTGTAATGGCGATTGTTGAATATTCAACATGACCTTGTATTCGACCGCGATTTACAGGCGTCTGGATTTCGGCATAAATATACCGGATGAGTCTATTGAAGGGCCTGGTGAGTGCGTTCCACAAAAAGAAGTTGCAGAAAGTGGTACTACGCCTAAGCGCAAGATAAGCGAGGTTTTGTCTTCCGAAGAAGACTCCAATTCTGTTTCCTTCGGCGGGAAAGCCGTGAGAAGAAGTCCGCGTCTCGCGGTTAAAGCTTTAAAAGGTCTACTTGAAAAGAAACAGAAGAAAGCAAAGGAATTACCCCAAGAGCAGTGTCTTCGGGAACTCAGGACCTCCAAAGAAGTGCAGATATTAAAAAAGCTGGAGGAAGAAGTCTATCAACTTGACGCTTCGCTGCACTGTGAAATAGAAGCGATCTCCGGCCATCACCAAAGTGCAGCTCTCAGCGTCTATCCTCGTAAGGAGAAAACCTTCAGTGAAGCACTTGGCACGTACCATCCAGTAAAATTACTTTTCTGTCCATCAGGGCATTATAAATTACAGGTATTCATCCATAAAACTGTCGTTGAGGGTCAAGTTGACTTGAACGATCGATTGTCTGTGGAGCGAGTGATTGAGGTTCTTCGACCACATTCAGGTTTTGTTATGTGCCCTGGAATTTCAGACTACGATGCTATCTTCGCGGATATTCGCATTCAACCATCAAACGTGAAAGAAGAGCTTTGGCCTTGGAGACACATAAGTGCTAGAAAGTGCAAGTTGTGGCACAAACCGAAGAAGCTGGATTTGGCAGACGAAATGTGTGACATGCGGCGAGTGTAGACTTGCGAGGAGACAAATGCTTGTTGTTCGTGACAGAAGAACGAGCTTGCTAGAAGAAGAGCGCATTGAAAGACAGCAGGCGTCTTCCAAAGTTAGATTGTCCTTCTCGAGCCTGGAGAGCATGAGAACGTTCGAAAAGAGCGAAAGAATTTTATGAGAATCGCGGAGCGAATGATCAGTAGAACATCTGTGACAGTCAACCAACAACAGAATAGCGAGCTGGTGAAACTAGTTCAGTCAATTGAATCGTGCAATGAAGGGAAAGAAGGTTTAGCGAAAGTAGTGGAAGAGGCTGACAATCACAAGCCCGGTACTGGAGCGGTTATCCGTGAAATGTGGCAGATGGAGAAGGAATCATTTTTCAAGGACCAGGCCAAGAATGGTAAGTCAAGAAGTTTAAGTTTCCTTTTTTCAAAAACACAAAGTAAACATCATTCATTACCATATTTCACCAGAGTTACGGTATGATACTCAAAGAGTCGTATTTCTTTCATACTATTTTAAAAACAAAGTGTGGTAGTAAAGCAGGTAGTTTGTAAGACAAATATTGCGTG